TTTCCCCCCCAAAACCGAATGCTCCGCGGAGTCCTGCAGCCCGACAGCCACCTCAGGGATGGGGTGAGGAGGAGGGGGGGGACAGAGGGGGACGCCCCCCATCCCCAGCACTTACCCACGTACATGATGCTGGTCCCAGTCATGTCGCAGAGGGCGGGGGGCAGGAAGAGCAGGGGGCTGAAGGGCTGCGAGGGGGCCATGCTGGGCTCCGCCTTCCGCCGATCCCTCCACACCAGCAGGTAAAACACCCCCAGGCAGGAAAATTCACCCAGGAACATGCCCACGGCCTGCAGGAAAGGGGGGGTGAGAGGGTGGTCTTGCCAGGAGGGTCCATCCTACCCCAAAGTGGGGGGGCTCACCTGCAGGAAGGGGTGCTGGAAGCCATGCTCCTCCGTCCCCCCGCAGCCGGTCGCGCTGAAGTTATCAGCCCACCTAAGGGGGGAGAGGAGAGGGGGGGTCAGAGGAGGGGGGACCCCAAGAGCCAGCCCAGGGCCACCAGCCCCTCCGGGAGGTGACAGCTCACGGGGACAGGACATCCATGGGGAAGGAGACCATCGTCCTGACTTGCCGGCAGCTCCTGGCCCCGCTCCCAGCGCTGAGTGACAGGCAGGGAAAGGGACACCGCTGTGTCACACCGCTGTGTCACACCGCCCCGCGATCCAGTGTCCCATCCTCACCTCCCCGGGGACAGCGTGCTGGGGGGGTCACCCCAACCCCTTCCCTCCTCCCTCCGGGAGGTGACAGCTCACGGGGACAGGACATCCATGGGGAAGGAGGCCGTCGTGACCGTCATCCTGACTTGCCAGCAGCTCCTGGCCCCGCTCCCAGCCCTGAGTGACAGGCAGGGAAAGGGACACCGCTGTGTCACACCGCTGTGTCACACCGCCCCGCGATCCAGTGTCCCATCCTCACCTCCCCGGGGACAGCGTGCTGGGGGGGTCACCCCAACCCCTTCCCTCCTCCCTGTGCCACCCCCCAAAAGGCTTGGGGGCTACAGGACACACAGCCCATAGAAGATGCTGGGGGCAGAGGCAGCAACTCCTACTGCTCACACACTCAAAAGGCTTGGGGGCTACGGGACGCACAGCCCATAGAAGATGCTGGGGAAGGGGAGGGGGAGGCAGCAACTCCTACTGCTCACACACTTTTGGGGCACAACCCCCCTTTTTCGGGTGTCCAAGCAGCACAGGGGGCAACACTGGATGACGAGAGGCTGTGGCACAGGCTCCCACGGCCCGTTTTGGGGAGGATCTCCCCTCTTTAGGGACCATGCACGTGGGGAGGGGACCCCAGCCCCTCGGTGGCCGGTGACCTGCCCCCCCAGGACACCCCGACACGGGGTTTTTGCTGAGGCCGAGCGGCCACAGAGCTGCTGAGCTGGGGGAAAACGGAGCAGGAAGGGAGAGCAGGGCAATCCCCAGCCCCTGGGCGAGGGGTTTTTCAGTTGCTGATGCCGAGCGGGCGCAGAGCTGCTGAGCTGGGGGAAAACGGAGCAGGAAGGGAGAGCAGGGCAATCCCCAGCCCCTGGGCGAGGGGTTTTTCAGCCAGAGCAGCAAAATTTGGGGATGAGTCAGCTCCGGGTGACCCAGCGCGGGTCCCTGTGTCGCAAGAGGCCACACACACACACACACACACACACACACGGGGGGGGGTGGTGCCACCTCCCCCCTCTCCTCTGTCCCGTGGGGGGTCTGTGCCTCAGTTTCCCCCCCCTGGGGAGCACAGCCTGCTGTGCTGTGTCACCGGGGCCAGCCGCAGCTCAGCCACCCGCTGACACCCCCAGTGTCTGCCCCACGGCACCAGGATGAGCCGGCCGGGCAGGTCTGCCTGGCCCAGGCACCTCCTCATCCTCACCGCGAGGGCCAGCAGTCCCCCCCAGGGTGATTTTGGGGGTGCACTGGAGCGCAGGGAGCATGGTTTTGGGGGGGCCACTTGCACAGCTCCTCCCCAGCACCCACGGCTGGGGAGCTGCACCCACAAGAGGCCTGGAGACCCCCTGGCCGTGCAGCCCCCCCCACATTGAGGAGCCAGGCCCCCCAAGCAGCAGCAGCCCCCGTCCCTATGGGGCACCCCACAACCCAGGGCTGCCCCCCCCCGTGTAATGGCAGCCCCCCAAACCCCGGGGGGGCACAGGGCAGGTCCCGGGGCTCTGCCGGCACGGCCTAGGCCGCGGCCTGGCCCCTCGGGCCCCACAGGGGGCTGGGGGTGCCGGGGGGGACGACACACCCCCGGAGCCCACCCTGGGCTGTGACACCCCCGGAGCTTCGGGGGGTCGGAAGGAGGGGGCTGGGACTCTGAAGACGAGGCCTCGACCCGCCGTGGGGAGCGCGGGGCTGAGGGGAGCGGGCAACGGGCCGCCCTGAGGCCCGGGAGGGCCCCGGTGGGCCCGGCCCCAGGCCCAAGGATGGGGGGGAGCGGGGCCGCCGCCCGCCCCCCTACCCCCTGGGGGGTGCGGGTCCCCTCCCCAGCCGCCGGGAGGACTCACTTGGCCGCCAAGGTGTTGATGGAGCCGGTGAGCAGCATGAGGGCGGCCAGGCCCAGCTGGTACCGGGACCAGGCCATGGCCCCGCCGCCGCCTCCCGCCTTGCACCGGGGCCGCCGCCGCCCGGCCACGCCCACAGACCCCCCGGAACCACGCCCACCGCCCGTCATGGCCTCGCCCCCGGCGCCCACCCCGGTGCCCCGGTCCCGTGCGCGGTCCTAGTGCCTCCGGTCTCGGAGCTGCCGGTCCCGGTGCAGCCCGTTCCGGGGCTGCCTGCCCTGATGCTGCCGGTCCTGGTGCTGCCAGCCCCGGTGGGCCCTGCCCCGATGCTGCCGGTGCCGCCTATCCCGGTGCTACCTGCCCCGGTGGTCCCTGCCTGAGGCCGCCTGTCCCGGTACCGCCCGTCCCGGTGGGCCACGTGCCGGTGCTGCTGATCCCGGGGCTGCCGGTCCCGGGTCTGGCTGCCCCGGTGCTGCCTGCTCCGGGGGGCCCTGCCCCGGTGCCGCCTGTCCCGGTTCGGTGGGCTCTATGCCGGTGTTGCCGGTCCCAGTGGGCTCGGTCCCGGTTCTGCCTCTCCCGGTGCACTGTGCCCCCCCCGCCGCCGTTCCCCTGCCGCCATCC